GGAGTCATGCTAATACACTGGTGCTGCCTGACAGGAGACATACATCTTCAGAGGTAAGCATAAATTTAACAGCCTAATTTGTCTAGTTGAATTATTGTTGACCAAAGTACGGAAAATATCCATTGCCAGTTTTATGCAATTAATGTTCCTGTGAAGATAAATGTTTCTTGGCTCGTTAAACCTTTAACAGTACTCATATTGTGGCTTGTTGTATATCACTCTGGTTTCTAGTTTTGGTATTGGTCATGATAATGATTCACAATTTGGACTAAAACTGCTTTAAATTTACTAATGTATGCAATAGTCATTTTCAATGCACTTTGTATCATGATGATACTGTTGCTGTCCATGGTGCTGGAAAATCCCTGCAAGTATAGATGTGTTCATTTAAGCAATGTTTAAAAAAAAGTTCAAGATTATATAATTGGTTGCTCCTACGATTTTTAATGGCTACAGAGGAGGATAATAAGTTACAATGTTCTGTCTTTCTTTTTGTTTACTTTTGGTTGTGTTTATTATCTTGGCTTTAAAGAGTCAACGGAGCTTTATACACTTAAAGTTGCACTTCTTGGCCATCACTCCCTTTAAATACTTTGGTAATAAAAAAAAGAAAATCTTAATTGAAAATTCCTTTTTTGTCTGGATTTCTCTGCTATATTAGCAGATATTTAAGTTGTAAGCATTTGGTGATGCAGTAGGTGTCGCTGTTACACTGAGGACCATTCAAAGCGTAAGCTTAAACAGACTGCACATTATAAAGGGCGTTTTTTCCCCTTCCGACGATAAAGAGTGCCAACGTTTTGGTTTTTACCTGGGCTAAATGTTCTCCGTGCAAACGTGGTTTTATGGAATTACATCTAAGAAGAACAAGTATATTGGACGGTTTTCAGGCGGACCAGTCTATTTTCAAATAACGTGCCATTGAAGACAAAGGATTAAAAGGGAACACCATGTCTTGGTCCCGAACTCTGTTTTTTTATTTGATGTGTTGCTACGGAGAGCAGATTTTAGCCCAAATAAAATACTCCACCTCAGAGGAAGTGAAAGTTGGAGCTATAATTGGAAATGTTGCTAAGGACCTGGGCCTCGATGTGAATACACTAGTGAACAGGCGTTTTCGTATTGTCTCTGGAGCTCAAGATGCACTGTTTGAGGTAAACCCGAACAACGGGGTTTTGTATGTTCTTCAGAAAATTGACCGCGAACAGCGGTGCGGTAGAAATGGTGCCTGCTTATTAGATCTAAAAATTGTTGTTGAAAATCCACTTGAAGTCCACTATGTTACTGTCGAAATAATAGACGCTAACGACAACGCACCAAGTTTCGCAGAGGAGGAAAAGGTCATAGAAATAACTGAAACAACTGTGGCAGGTGCACGATTCCAATTACCCGGAGCCCGTGACCCAGATGTGGGAATAAATTCTGTGCAGCGATATAAACTGAGTCAAAACGACAATTTTCACTTAGAAATACGAGATAGGGGGGAAGACAAAACTCCTTTCCTAGTGTTACAAAGGCAATTAGACAGAGAACAGAAGGCAAACCACAGCTTGATCCTGAGCGCAATAGATGGAGGCACACCTCCAAAATCAGCTCATCTCAATCTGACCATAAAGGTTCTTGATATAAATGATAACAGACCTATTTTTTCTCAAGACGTTTATTCAGTATTGTTAAAAGAGAACACTGCAATAGATACGATTATAATAAAAATCCAGGCAACTGATCTAGATGATGGAATTAATGGGGACGTAGAGTATGCTTTTGGAGGAGATATTAACCCAAATGAACTGAAACTTTTCAGCCTAGATAGATATAAAGGTGAAATACGAGTGAAAGGAAAACTTGACTATGAGATGGCAAGTGTTTACAAGTTAGACGTGCAGGCTTCTGACAAAGGTCAGCCTCCAATGACAACTGATTGTAGAGTCATAATAAAGATTCAAGATGTCAATGATAACAAGCCAGAAATAGAGGTAACATCACTGTCTGGCATGGTACCAGAGGGTTCAAAACATGGGACCGTAGTTGCTCTGATAAGTGTTACAGACAGTGATTCTGGTTTGAATGGGAAAGTCGTATGCAGTGTGACAGAAAATGTACCATTCGAATTAAAGCCATCCTTTAAAGACAACATGTATTCCTTAATTACAAGAAATAAATTGGACAGGGAGAATGTCTCACATTATGATATTACCATCACAGCTACAGACTGTGGTGAGCCTCCTCTTTCCACATTCAAAACTTTAAGCATTCAAGTGTCAGATGTGAATGATAACTCTCCAGAATTCTCTCATAATCCAATAGAATTATATTTGATGGAAAACAACATTCCTGGCTCATCTATATTTTCTGTTAGTGCGATGGACAAAGATTTAGACGAAAATGCTGCAGTGTCCTATTCTATACTCAGAGGACAGGGCGGTCATCGTGATATGGCACCTTTTTTTAATATCAATTCAGAGAATGGACAAATATCCGCCCTGAAAAGTTTCGACTTTGAGACTCTGAAAACGTTCCAGTTCCACGT